CAGACAGAGAGAGAGACAGACAGAGAGAGACAGACAGAGAGAGAGACAGACAGAGAGAGAGACAGACACACAGAGAGAGAGAGAGAGAGAGAGAGAGAGAGAGAGAGAGAGAGAGCGCTATGTGGTGACAAAGAGTGCAGGCAGGTGGAGAAATATTTGTAGCTTAAGGGGGGGAGGTCACGTTCGGTCATGCGCAATGGCGGATTTTTCGACTCTGATAGAGCTATTGGTCGAATTCAGCCGTTGTCTGGAAGAGAAATCGTGGTCGTGTGCTGTGATCGGGAGTTTTCCGTGGTTTCTCTGATCAACACTAAGTGAATGACGGAGCAGTACCCTAACGACCGCGCACGATCTTTCTATCGTCTTCCTTGTCGTATCCTCTGCCCTTACTCATACACACACATGCATAACACGTAACTTGTTCGATGGGAGACCAGTCGGGATTTTAGAACTTGCCTCGGCTCAGGCGGTGCCCCACTGGGGGAGGCACCTAGAGGAGATTTGTCCGCAAGCTGACGTATAGATCGGCGCCGGATCTCACGGTGCAGGGTGGGAGGAACACCGCCGCCTCCCAAGATAAAAGATTCAGCACACTATAGGGACTAAAGACTGTAGCTGTTGAGTGCCCGCAAACGCCAATGAATCATATTATTCGCACGCAAGCTCCCCCAAATTGATGGAGCGCAAGCATTTCTTCGCACCGCACGGCGCGAAGGGGAAGGAGTGAGAACAGTAGCGGCTGCTCCATAAGGGCTCTAGGGCGGCGCCCTCCTCAGAAAAACGAACCTTGGGAAAAGTTGCAGAAAGTATTAAACTTGCAATAAATCGACTCGTTTAATTTGGGTGTACCACCAGCGCAATTTTTAGGACGAATTTAATTTTTTGCTCCCGCTTAACCAAAAGACAAAATGTTTTTAGAATGGATCGTATCGTGGACTATCGCGAGTCCGTCCGTAGCTGCTGCATGCGAGGCAATGGAAGCTTGAGGAAGAGTGGTGGTACTGGGAGTTATGTGGGGGGCAGCGTGCTGTTATTAGGGTTTTGTTCAGCAACGTCCGCGGCTACTAAGCTAAGAATACAGGCCCTTTTATCTAAATTCATAAATTACTGTTTCGTTTGCTGGTAATATTTTGCCTCTTACTTTCGCGTGAGCACAATTGTATCTTCCTTTATCAACGTAGAAGTTGCCTTTGGCAAGGATTTAAACCCCGATTCGTGCAAATCGGTTGAACTGTACATGCCAGAGTTTTCCCCGTTCAAGAAATACTTGAAGAGGTAAAATGCACGTGATAGTTCGGACACACACGGGGCCGTCCCTGCTAATTCGCAACCCAGCGGCCAAACGCGAGGCGGGCAGAGCGAACAACAGGCGGCCGCGCTGCCAGCCGAGCGGAGGCGCGCCCGCTCGCGGGGCACAGCTTGGGGTTGGCCGCGGCGCGGCTATTAATACGCGCGCGGTCTGCAGCGGCGGCGGTGGCACGTGCTGCTGGGCCGCGCGCCGCAACCCCCCCCCACACACACACACGCCTCCTGCGCCGTCATCCGCCAGGAACGGGCCTTTTTCAATAACAATTCGTCACTCGTTGTCTTTTTTGAGACCGCCTTCACACTCCTTTTTGTTCGGGATCCATCTTGCCTCCGTCGGTAGTCGCCATCCAAATTTTCACTTGGTCTAGCCTACTTCGTTGGAAACTGAAGTGCAAAATGTTTTGCTTCGAACTACAGCGGATTAAGCTGACAAATAACACTAACAGTGCAGTCGGCGTCTGTAAGTGAAATCATTCGTTGAGACAACAAACGTGCATGCACCGTTTTGTAAGTGCAGTAGTACAGATGTCGTGGCTGCTCCTACCTGCGCGGGAGAGGGCGGCCGGAAGTTTTGCTTGAGGCGCCTAACGACTTCCGTGGGGAGCAGCCGGTCGTGGGGCGGGGGCGGGGCGAAGGGCGCGTGGCGGCGCCCACGTGCCACGTGCCAGCCGGGGGCGCTGGAGCCGTCAAAGCCCTGTCGCGTCGCGTCGCCAGACGGCGTTTCTTGCTCAAGAGCACCACAGACGGGACTGTTTTTGTTTTCTCTCTGTTTTCCTTATAGTGTGCCACGTCAACCACACGGAGGGATGTTCTGTTTTGCGAGGAAGCGTAAAGTCTTGCTAGAATGAAACCGTCTCTTGAGGGAAAATTTAAATTTTACCATTTCATTTCCGCAAAAATGTGTGTAATATCAATATATTTTGGATTGATGATGGCTGCTGATGATGTGCAATGGCATGATAAAGAAATCGAAGAGATGTAAAATAATATTTGGATTTAAAGTATTCGTGATATATTGGCCAGCTCCATCTTCTAAACATACTCAAAACTTTCTTTAATATATTCTACTAAATGTAAATTGAATTTGAGTAAGAAACGCAACCCAATTTCGTGCGGTGATTGGTCTTGTTTTGCTGTGTTCAAATAACTATCACCGGATGCATGAAACATTCCTAACGTTTCTCCCACAACTCCATTTCACTTTTTCGTGAAATGAACGGCGTGCAGAACGTGGGTTGGCCGCTCTGGAAAGAAAGCGACGGAAAGCGACTGGGCAGATTCACCGCCGTCGGTGACTCGGACAGCCTCCCGCCTCCGTCCGCCCCCGCGCGGCGAGGTGGCCGGCGGAGGGGGTGGGGGAGGCGGCGCCCCTCCAGCGGAGCCGGAAGTTCGGCGCGCGGGCGCGGCTATGTTTAGAGCAAAGGAGCTTGGGAAGGGGGGGGGGAGGAGGAGACGCGCTCTCTGGCGCGAGAGGAGCAAAGACACGTTCGATCATTGTCGCAACCACGATTTTGCTTTGCGATAGGTGTTGTGGGCAGCCCACTTGATGTTTTCCGATAAAGAGTGTTTCATTTGCGCTGAAGTTAAAAGTTAATTTGTGTTTCTTAATTCATGGTAATGTATTCCATTGAGATCCTGAATGACTTTCGTTACTATATAAAAAAAATCAGGGAAAAATAAATGTGTGGATATGTTTTATGGGCTTGGCGCCACTCCTCGCAATAATCTCTGATTTGAGGTGATTTCGATTCTAAGTTTTGGAATTGATTGGATTATTTAAAAAAAAACAATAAATATTCCATCAAAACAAAATGATTTATATAATTTTCAGAAACAAGATGATAGATAAATGTAATATTCTAAATCTCAACGTGATTTATATTTGTATTACGTATGGGTCTTAATGTATTTAAATTTTTTTATAAGGGGAAACTTGATGTGCAAGTAAAGGTACTAACTTCTACAATCTTAAATTTTTCTCCATTTTCATGGCAAATTCTATCATGCTTTTTGCAATGATGTATGAAAAAGGTAAAACGTGTAGCAATACTGAACGAAATACAAATAATTAAACATTCGTCGAATATTTTATGAACTAGATGATTATCATGATCATCTTCACCATCAGCCTTCTGGCAGATTCATACTGCCGACTGCCCTGCTGACTTAGATTGAAACGACTGATAACCGTGAAGATGCTCCTTTTTGTTCATCTTGGAATTAAACAATCAGTCACCTCTGATAGTTGACGTTGCAAGTTGTCTTATGTATATTCTTTTTCTTCTTCAACCTTAGTAATGATTCTGTCCAGATCTCCTGTCCCCTTTCAGCGCCTCATGATTACTTTATTAGTCTATCTAGTTTTCTCTATTCTACGTCCAATCGCCCACGAATCTAGGATGCATACACATAGAAAGGTCAAAAAGGAAACTTTTCTTTTAAAAAATTGAGGAGGAAAACTGCTTTTCCTACTTGTATTAATTTAATACAGTTCTGACATGTCATGCAAATTGCAGCTAGATGGTAGGAAAGTGCAAAAACGAAAATATATTCCTGTTCAATGAATATAAACGAGTAAATAAATCTATGATATTATAAAAATATATAAATTGTACCTTTCTAAATCAAATAGGTTACAGCAATCGCAATAGAATTTATGTAAAACTGTACCACATTATTCCAGTAAACATGTAGCGTGCTTTTCCAAACTCAAATATTTCCAAATTATATTACTGATTCAGAAAACGCAGCACACCATTTTTTCTGTTCATTTTCTGTTGCTTCATTTTTAAGTTTATGGACGAGTTCAAACTAGTCACAATGTCATCACATTCCCTAACTGT